TTGTTACGTTTAAACGACTGTTCACCCCAATTAAAGCACATCCAATGGCATGGCACAAACTGTTTAAGATACAGTGCACATCCTAATCGATACATCTAAACTTCACGCTCGAGACATACAATTACACAAAAATCGTTTATTCAGAATTAATGGAACACATTACTCTGGTGAGATTATAAGAATGATTGCGTTTGTTTTATACAATACCAGAGCTGTACAAGTGTGACTATTATTGACAGTGGCTTAAACACATACAAATTAAATGTTTAGTTAACCTCATGACCTGAAAATATTTGTTGCGAATTCCCTTTTTATGGATTGGTAAGTTTTTTTAACCAGAATTAACGTAGATTAATGCACTGACTACATTTATTGACCGTATACTGTGATGTTACGAATTAACCTGCTTGTTACTGCTTACAAGTTGTGCTGTGAATCTAAAGGACCCTTTAGTATTCAGTTAAAAAGTATTTAAAACAAATTATGTTTGTGTTGTGTGTATCTTGAGCCACATGCAGCATGTTTGCAAATGATTTAACGGCTTTTTATTTTTACAGTGAATTAATGTTTGTTTTAGCGTGCGCGATTAGTTCATGCATTTAGTTAGTCCTCAAACCACCGATGGGCTTGGTTCGGTGGACAGTCTTCAAACGGCGTGCGCCATCGTCCAGCACCTCTGATTAGAGCACGGTCGGTTACGTACGGTGCGAAAGAAGTTCAATGTACACAGTACCGATCGGGTTGTCGCCTGAGCCCCACTCTGTGCAGGCTTTTCCTGCGCAGAGGAGGAGGAGGCCTTGGCCGGTAGTCGGAACCTGTTGAGCAGGGACCCGGTCAAGGCACTGATGTTCAAACCCGGGCAGGCGGATCGTAGCTTTGCCCATGGGTGGCTTGTGCCCTCGTTGATGAGAGCCAACTCGCTCATCGGCACCACAACGACTGCTGACATTTTTTTTATTTGACCAGGTAAGGCCCCACTGAGTTATGCAGCTTTTTTTCAGAAGCGACCTGGCCATCACAACCGATAGCTCAACGAAGCGGCTTATCACGTGGAAATGTACAGCAGCCAAATACTCTACACGCACGTTGATTCTTAATGTGGAGGGAAAAACCGGAGGACCCGGAAAAAAATCCACACGACCACGGGGAGAAAGAGAGAACATGAAAACTACAAATATACAGCAGGCGTCAGGGTCAGGATTGAACCCACAACCTCCTCCATACCAGGCAAGGTAGTTAACATATTTCCACCGTGGCACCCACAATTCCCTGGTGTGCCAAGTTGCCTCGCAGCAAGTGTCAGGATGACACTTCAGCGAAACATATCGGTGTAAATCGGGACAGACTTGAGTCGGTGCGAATCTTCTCCGGTACCGTGCCGGTCGCAGCCTCCCAATGGAATGTGTGGGGGGCGGGGGGGTGGTGATGATGTTAGTCCAGCGCTGGCAGCCATGAGAGAGGAGTGGGTCGAAGACTTCCTGAGATGGTGATGTGCATGCCGATTGCCAGCAAGCTCAGTGCGCGATGGCCAACCCTGGACAGGCGACGGTATCCGCCGCCGCCCACAAGCGAGAGTGCTGACGTAGGTAGGGTCGGTGCACCGGCGAACTATGCCAAGCGAACTGTTGCGAGACTCGACTCTCGCGGCCGGTCGTCTTCTTGAGATGATCTTGTTGGCTCAGTGTTTCGGTCCAATGGTCGCCGTGTGGTAGACCGGGTGAAGGGTCACGACATCTCGGCCTCTGCCAATGGGGGCGAGCGTTCAGCTTGTTGAGTGGCACCTTATCTCACGCTACACAGATCCGTTTTGCCCAGGCCACCGTCACTTTTCACGTACACCCCCCCCTCCGAAGACGGCCGGGGGGATCTGTCCCGCCTCCAGTGACCGAAGGAACAATTAGCACGTGGAAGAAGCGCGATAGGTTGTGACCCCCCTACCATCGATGTCGACTGTGCAACAGCTGACGGTGCCTAGCAGAAGGAAGCAACGCTGAGGTTTGCGTGGCTCCAACATCAACGTCTGCTGTAACCTCTTGATTTTGTACGCTGAAGGCCATTTCATTCAACGTCAATCTTATTGCCAAATTAGACTGTCTGCAATTATTACCATTATCAACGGGTGCAAGAGTATTCCCAGATAAATAGGGGTTGGTGTGTGTAGCTCCACGTTCGTTAATCAATTATTGTCTTCCATCGTACCACCTTTAATCAGTGTTGAGTAACGAGCTCGGATAGTTTACTTAACCCTGAAGGACACTGCTTATACAAAAATAGGATTTGAATTCAGGAAATGTCCAAATGTAATGAGCTCAAGATTCTGATGTAGGTCTTGCAAATGAGAGACATGGGGTTGGGTGGGGGGGACTAGAACTCCAGATGCATGGTGATGTTAATATTTATAAGGCTCTTTACAAACTTGATGTCTTAGTTAAGGAGGGCTCACTTTTTTGCCAACAAGAGGCAACTCAAGTTATGGGTGGATTATGTTGGATAATCCATGAGATGAAATGTAAGCGGGCTGAGGAACAAGAGAGCGTGGTGGGTTCTGTGAAATCAATCAGGAGATGGGATTCCCAAGAGAGAAAGAGAGAAGATGGATATAGAAGAGGATTGGGTCGATGACAGAGCCCCGTGGAATAGGTTTATGGGAAGATAACCCTCGCACGGAGACGCACGAGTGCAGGTGTGAGGTACGTGCAGCGCCAGGAGAGTTCCAGAGATGCCTGCATTATCCTGACGGTGTTTAAGGAGGATAAAATTGTCTGTGGTGTCAAAGGCTGCAGTGAGGTAAAGGAGAAGAATGTGGAGGAGGTGGGGGTCCAGGGTCAGAGGACTGGAGGAGGTTGTGGATGGAAATTGGATTTGGATGGAGTTGTGAACACCGCGCAGGGACAGGCGTGGTCAGAGACCTGGGAACGGGTGATATTTCATGGGGGTTTCAGATGAGAAAGAGGTTCAGATCTGGGATAAACTCGCTTGCATTCAACCGCAACTCACGACTTCTGCCTTCTCCGCGAGTGGATATAACGTACACCGTACAATGCTTCGATTCCACAGCCATGAGTGCAGCGCTATTGGCTGTTCCTATTTACAGCTATCCATGGAAAATGCACTCCTGTTATCCACACGCCATGTGCAGATAAATGCGGATAATAGAATGAATATACCCCCACTCCCAAGTCAATCCTCTTTTCTGCGGAGAGTCCTGAACAGTGCGGATGAAGTCGGTGCCTCCGAGGGACCCATCTCAGGATAAACACGGGAAATAGGAAGGATCAATGTGCAGAGAAGGGCATTCTCCATGGACCGATTCAGGGGCGAGGATAATTGAGAGTGGATCGTAGAGGGACGGATAAGAGGAATTTCGTTGCATGTATGTTTTAAACTGTCTCGGTAGGGTTTAAAAGTTCCTTCACGTGGCCTCGACTGATCAACAGCAGAACAAAAGAAGTGCGCCCGCGCTCCGTTTGACGGGGGCGGAGGGATACCGTTGCACGATCGCCTGACCCGTGCTACACCATCACCACGCGCCACCCGCAGAAAAAATCCAAATCACTTGGCAGAACTGTTTTGGTTGAATAGCTGGGGGATTTTTTTTATGAATCTGTGGTTTTTTTGTGTGTGCCAGTACCCTTCATCCAAATATACAGAATAAGCCTTTCATCCAAGCTTGAATCCGATGGAAGTAGCTCGCTCAAAGTAATAAAAGAGATAATGAACAGACAGGGGGTCTGCTTCACTTCCAAATGTAAATGATCCAAATGTAAAATAGCAGATCCATCACCCTGTGAGCGTTGCAAACCAATGTTTTCTGGCAGTATTCTCAATTTAGACCTTCTATGTATGTACAGTATGTATGTTAAACTTGTTTCACACCGTACATATAGCCAAACGTTATAGTCGAAGACCTTGTGAGTCTCATCCGGAGTGTTGTTGCTTATTAAAAACACATGCTCATAAGTTCCCGAGGGATGTTCACCTAAGTACAGAAAAACTGTTCAAAATCCAAGTGCAATTAGTGTAATATTTTTATGCATTACTTTGGTGTTAATTTCATGAAGGGGAATCTATTGTACAGAGTAGAAAATAATATATCGTACAAATCACAGTCAACTCTGATGCTGCAAAGAAAGAAGAAAATGCTACATCATCATGTGACACTGAGCATCTCTCTGAGCTAAGCACGAGGATAGGTCCCAGGGGAGAGCTGCTGTTTAACACTGTTGGAGCGACGCAATATCATTTACGTGCAATGCACACCGACGGAAATTACCCATGTTGTCCTCACAGCGTGAACCTGTTCCTCCTCCGCCTCTGCCGGGTGTGTGCCTTGAAATTCAATCGTCGTTACCGTTCATTAATGTGTGTACCTTGAACTTATTTCGCACCGTATGTAGCGAGTCGTGCTAACTGGAGGTGCCGGGGAAGAACAACAAACTAAACACAAAAAGCAGTTCTAAAGAGAAGAGTTTTCAATTTAACAGTGCATAGCTCCCACTTGCTTCCTAATATCGGAATGAAGAGCGTTCCAGACGGCCGCAGAAGCGCATCTGAAAGTGCACGGACGCAGTGACCGTCTGAATAGGATGGGGCACACTAGGTGGACAATCGCCAATTTAGGACTTTTTGGTTTTGTTCCACCAAATCCATCAAGTTACGTGAATTGCGCCCATATAATCCATATCACCAACTTACACAAGCCATTGTGTAAGCATTTTGGAAAATAATGCTCATTGTGGTGGCCACCAAGAGGTCGTCAAGATTTAAGGTGGTAAAGCTTAAAACAGGGGCACAGTACGACAGAGGAAAGTGTAAACGAATAAGGCAATGTGTAGTGGACACTGATGGGCCATCTGCCCATGAACCGTGATGATCATGGTGATGACGGGTCCGACACGACGCGGGTGGTGGGTGCCGCCATGGTGAGGAGGAGGAAGGAGGGGGAGAGGGAGGGAGGGGGAGGGGGGTGAGATAGGGGAGGAGATGGGGGGGGGTCTCACCGAGGTACTGGATGCTGAAGCCCTTCCGACGGTGGCTGCCATCGGACGTGAAGTGGAGTCGCAGCCAGTGCGTGTTGCTCGTGATGGGGGAAGGCAGGGTCATTCCGGTCAGCCTGAAAGCAACAGGGGACAACTCTTATAGGTTAGAAATGCGCTGCCACAAATTAGGGTTTCAATGGGCACACTTGAGAGATATTTGTTTTTAATGATGTTGGATATTTCCAACTGTTTTATCTTTGTAATGGACTAATTTCTTTGTTTTGATATTTTTTTTGTTGTTTGTGCTTTTTAATTTGGTGCGATTTCTTAATAAAAAAATACATCTTTGATGTTGCTTGTTAGCAGGGTTTTCATTTGTTTGGTACGTATATGAGTGTTGGGCTTCTTTCGCGTCGTACGTAACCAACCGTGTTTATTGGATTTGGTCCTTCTATATAATTAATGTACAGCATTGTGAGATGCTGTTGGCACGAATGACACCGCTATATAAGATGAGAACATTTTTAAAATAATTGTTCACGTTTAAAAACATGTTGTCTTTTTCATCCATTAGTGTGCAATACATAGAGACCATGTCAATAACATATGGAGGAGTCGCACTGCATTGCAGATATAATTGAGATTACAGTGCACATAATTTTGCAGCTGGTGAAATGTGATCATGTATCCTGTAAAGTAATACATATGGATGAGAATCATTGTTGAAACAACTTGTAATGATATGTACTTAAGTAGAACCGGGATTGCTGGAGGCAGTGTAAATGAGGGGCCATAACAGCGCAAGAAAGATGTGACGGTAAAACACGAGCAGCAATCAGTTGAAGTATTACCCTGCAACCGGCTTCTCTTTCCACACATCGCCACGCAATGCGAAACTCGATCTCAGAATGAAAAAAACGTGTATATGGCAGAATTCATATTATTTGGGTCTTTCAGTAAAGTCACGTAGAAAGGTTAACAAAAAATAACAAAAAAATAACAAAAAAACTACGACGTTTCGATCACAACACAAGCGATCGTCATCAGGAGGCTCCACCAATTATAAACCTTTACAGCAGTCTCTGCCTCAGCAGCCTTCCGAAAGACCCAGAGAATATCAATTCCTGCCGTCACGAAAGCCTTAAGTCAAGATATGGCAGAACATTTATAATATTTTTGAAAAGTTTTTTTAAAATATATATTTGACAGTATTTACTTTCTATCCCAACATTATCGTGCCATTGGCATCACACCATGAGGCAATGTAATGTATTACTTACTGTTAGTAACTCAGCTTATTGTAGAGTATATTTAGTATACTGATGATACTATGTAGTTTATACTTTAGTTGTTTACGTGGTGGTTTTAGTTACTGTAGCTACATAATATTAACACTCCTTCCCTTCATTAATGCTACCCCTATCCCCCGCCCTTTGATGCTGCTAATCCTGCATAATGCACGGGCATAAGTAGTACTATTTACGTACCTGCATTTCCCATATCCCCTCCCTTTGATGCTGCCAATCCTGCATAATGCACGGGCATAAGTAGTATTAATCACATACCTGCATTTCCCATATCCCCTCCCTTTGATGCTGCTAATCCTGCATAATGCACGGGCATAAGTAGTACTAATCACATACCTGCATTTCCCATAAATATGCTAAATTCCTCTTGATATGCATATTCTTTTGTCAAGGCGCCATTTTCCCTCCTTCCAACCCAGCTTATATATATGCTCCAAGCACGTGTGCTGTTTCATTCAGACGCTGTCGCCTCGACAGACCTGGTTTTCACCTGAGGACGGCTGCTTGCGTTGTGGCCGAAACGTCGTGAGAATTGTTTTATGTTTTATTTTTATTATTTTATTACTTCCCTTCTACGTGACTTTACCGAAAGAACCAAGAAGATGAATGTAACCGGTTTTTTTTCTGTGTGTGTGCAAGTGTGATAGCGACCTACAACTTGCTACCACACTGGAGAACCCAGCTTCATCAGAGGTGGCGCCCGGATTCGATCCCAGGATCTCAGCGGTCGGTGCCAGCTCAGGCGCTCTGACCTCAGAGTCACCCGGCAACCCCTTGATTTATGGAAACTCAAAATGTAGTTTTGAATAATATTACTTTTCAAAGTTTGGTTCACGTTATTATTTTTTGTTGGCGTTGAAATAAACAGAGCGAAATATTTATTTTAAGTAACCCGAGATGGGACACGCTAATATATATATATAACGTACTCTTTGGGTCTTTCGGTAAAGTTACATAGATAGAGAAATAATATGACCCATCTCAGGCCTATATAACGTCCTGCTTCAGCAGCTCCCTTGCTACGTTTTTTTCACCTGAGGACGATTGCTTGTGTTACAATCGAAACTTCGTGATGTTGTATTATTTCTCTATCTACGTGACTTCACCGAAAGGCACAAAGTATGAATTCCTGCAGTCACGAAAGCTTTAAGTCAATATATATAACGTTCGAATTATCCACCGTTTATTTAAACATTTAAACTTAACGGCAAGATCACGTGACAATTTTGTGTCAAATTGAAATCTTATTTCCAGGACAGCGTTTGCAGAGAGGATTGAACCGGCATACGTTTTAATATCTATAGTGGCTCCCAGGATGCAGCGCCCCAACCCAAAGCACTGCTTCTGCACCGGCCCACCCGATGGGAACAACAAGAGCGAAGGTCAACCCAAGGTCACGGCGACTCAACCGCATTCAGCGCCTAACGTTCGACAACGAGCCGGGCAGACCAATCAGTCCAGCCAGGAACTTCTCATCCTCCATTTGTGCGCATAAAACTGTCAAAACGTGTACGCACGCGGTAATTGGCATGTGTGGAATCCTGGGGCCAGATCGACGGAATCATAATGAGGGGTAGCAAGGCTCCGTGTAATGAATCCTTCTTGTGGGCAACACTTCTTTCTCTCCACAAGGTGTTATTTATTAATAAAGAAGCACACAAAAACTCACTATATCTATGACACTGCTGTATAACAGGAACATAAATAATAGGGTTGACAATACGAGCAATTGCCCTCTTGTCAAAGCCAGAGAGACTGAACCTTCATTGGAGATCTCCCCCTTGCATTGCAGTGGCTGAGCTAGTTGCGAAAGAAAGTTTCGCAAATTCAGTACGAATAGTTTTCCATCAGTGTACTTTGAGTAGAAACTTTAAAAAAAATATGTACGTATAAAATGCGACCAGCAATGAATTTCCACGATGCAGTTCTTCTGCCGCAGTTTTTTTGCTACCTCAAATTGCTGAGGAAGTCACATTAATTGCAAACGTGGCGCCTTTAAAAAATTTCGAAGCTGAATAATCAAGAGCCATTTCGGTGAAGATAATGGTGAAGCAACAAACACACATTGAGCAAAACCGGTGGAAAAAATCCGTGCTCAAGGCTGATTTGTAATTATGCCTCACCCGCTGCTTTTGGCCCTGCTTAGAACTGAAGATAAAAACAAAACAAATATTAAGTTGCATAGTATTCCCTGTCCACATTTTCCTACTTTTTTTCTCACGCACGGGAGTTGCTAATCACCCCCCCACAGAAAACGTAAAATGTGGGCATGGCTTTTAAAAGATGAAAATAATTGTGTGCATCGTCAGCACCGAAAAACATCAAACATTGAGCAAATGAAAGGTAATTCATTGACTAAACAATGTTGGCTTCGGTGGTAAGCAACTACTGAAAAAATTGTAAAGGTATTGTAAAATTATATACACAAATGTTAGGTGCTGAAAACAGTGAACGATGCAATATAGCAGACGTTGTTTTTCTTTATGTATATTGAACTTTTTAAACCAAGTTAATCGGAGGTGCGAGACCAGAACAACACACTCAACACAAATGGGTTTTCAATCTCGATAATTTAAAAGTGCGTAGCTCCAGTGGCTTCCTAATATCGGAAGGAAGAGCGTTCATTCGGGGGGGGGGGGGGGGGTAAATTCAGCTCCTTACTAAGCAGTGTCGTATTCACCATATTCGAGGTTACTGCCCGCGTACAACGTCATGATTCTCAGGCCATGAAGGACGTCAGAGCACGGGGTCTCCATGGACACCGGGCACACCAACAGCGTTTAGGTGTCACACGTTGGGCGCAATGCAACCGTGGGCAGCGTCTCGCGCGCTGGCAAATCGTCGTGTATTTCCCGGCAATGGGAACTGTCCATGTGGTACCAAAGGGTGGCCAAAAAGTGAGGGCACACAGAGTTATTTCTAGATTTGAAGCTTTCGTGACTGCAAGGATTCATACTCTTAGGTTTTTTCGGTAAAGTCACGTAGGAAAAAAATGTAATAATAGAAATAAAATAATAATAAATCAATTAAATCATTTAATGGATTAAATGTGATTTAAATAATTTATTTTTATTTTACATATATTTATTTATATTTTTTTACCTACGTGACTTTACCGAAAAAAACCTAAGAGTACACAGAGTTATATTCGTATTCACAAATAAAACAGGGTTATTTCATTTATGTTTTACAAATTTCCAAAATGATTTCCACTAACATGAATCCGTGCATGCATTCTCTTTTGAAACAAATGTAGGACTTTTCTTTTTTAAAGATGACAGCTGCCTTCTTTAGCACATGTAAAAAACTAATTGAATCCTTCATCTTTCGTAAATTTTATTTTCATTTTTTAAATGTCAACGAAAAAAGGACGAAGACAAATAGGATATTAATTATGAGAACAGATGTAGAATATAAACTTAACGACTAAACAATTGCAAAGTTTGAATGCCAGTGTTAAAATAGATCAAATGACCTTACGTGTTACGACTTTTGGGCCACTGTATATCTCACTCTGGGTGTAAAACACCAGAACATGTTTGTTACAGCGCACACGGGCCCAGAGAATGGCTGGCGAACTGAGTCTCACGCCAGGATTGCCCAATCACCCACACTGCCGCCATCTCCAACTCGACACCTCTGTTTGCGCTGATGCTGCCAATCAAAGCCGCACGGGCCAACGAGTCAGGGTCTGCCGATATCAATGCGGGTCATCACGAACAGTCGCAGCCTCGCCCACATTCACCAGGGGCAGACTTCGCCCACCTCCCCCCGCCCCTTGCGATGTGAGGGCATGCTTTTTGAAGAATTGTTTAACAAGGCCATGT